TATCGGCGGGATAACCCAGCCATGACCCGTGGCCGATATCGGGAATTCTACCAGTGTGTGAGTATGTGGCTAACTTGGCCCTCCCTCAAGCCAGTGGAATCTGCTGAGCACCCATGGTGTCCTGAGCAAACTTGGTGCCCCAGATAATGCTAACCCTTAGGTTTCTTTGGTATTTTCCTATAGATTTCACAAAGGGGAGGGAGAACAGGGGTTATTCTCCCCATTTTATATATGGGTAAATTTGATTCTCAGAATAAAGAGATCATAGGGATAAGAAAGGCAAAGTCAGCACTAGAACTCTTGGTCCAGTGCTCTTCATATTAAACCACAGTGATAGGATCAGAGTAAAGGATGAGCAAATTGGATTTGAGGTATGAAATAATCCAGACTGGTGGGCAGAGCTTCTGAATAAATAGAGAAAATAACTAGGACTAAGGTTGTATAGTTGCCCTCCAGTGGTAGGAGGAAATAGCAAAAGTAGATGAATGAGTTGATGAACACTAGTCCAATAGATGGAAAGGAAACCAGTAGTAGTGAGAGACCCAAGAATGCTGGGGTTTTCCTCTGGGCTAATGATAGAGAATGAAAAAAAGTGGTCTATGCAAACTGGCCTTTCAGAGAGAGCAAGAGCAGAGCTCCCAAGGATCCCCTCTGAAAAACCCCCGAGGACCTCTACCTCTCTCCCTGCAGGATTTCGACATTGCTGGGCAATTTGACCCCATGATCCCTGATGCAGAGTGCCTGAAGATCATGTGTGAGATCCTGAATTCACTTCAGATAGGTGACTTCCTGGTCAAGGTCAGAGCTGAACAAGGCTGGGAGGGCAAAGTTGGGCCTGGCCTCTCACAGGAGAAGGTCTTTGTGCAGAGGGACCAGTAGCCTAAGGGACCAAAGCTATGGAGGGTCATGTAAAGAGATGCTTTGGGTCCCTGCAGGTGAATGATCGGCGCATCCTAGATGGGATGTTTGCGATCTGTGGGGTTCCTGATAGCAAGTTCCGTACCATCTGCTCGTCAGTGGACAAGCTGGACAAGGTAATGACCCAAACATCTGACTCCTTTATTCCCAGATCCCACCCTGCCTTGACAAATGGAAAACAAGGGGGGGGTGGGGGCGGGGGGTGGGAGGGGGCTGCCTCTGTGCCCACCAGGGAAAAATTAGCCTTAGGATGTAGGTTGAAGGGCAGCTTCTGCTCCAAGACTGCCCCTGAGGAGGGCCCATACTTGTTCTGTGGGGAAGGTGCCCAAGGGTCCCTGACTGCTATCTGTCTGCCCAGGTGCCCTGGGAGGAAGTAAAGAACGAGATGGTGGGAGAGAAGGGCCTCGCACCCGAGGTGGCTGACCGCATTGGGGACTATGTCCAGCAGCATGGTGAGGAATGAACCCTGCCTCCCCATCAGCCATCCCACTGCCCTAAATCCTTAAGCTGAAACTCTCCTCTCCATGTGTGTATAAATGTAGGAGAGAGAGACAGAGAGAATGGGAGAGAGACAGAGAAGTGGGAATTGGGCGGGGAGTGGGGGGAGCACACATACATGTACAACCCAGGCAAAAAGATACAGCCCCTACTTTTTTCTTCTGATCAGTCATTCTTGCTTGCAAATCTGTCTCCCCAGGTGGGGTATCCCTGGTGGAACAGCTGCTCCAGGATCCTAAACTGTCTCAAAACAAGCAGGCCTTGGAGGGCCTGGGAGACCTGAAGCTGCTGTTTGAGTACTTGACCCTGTTTGGCATTGCTGACAAGGTGAGTCAGGTTGGGGATGGGAGCCCTCGCTGTGCTCTGGGGCTTCAGGTCCTTGATCCTCATCTGGTACTGACATGTTCTTGTCCCCACAGATCTCCTTCGACCTGAGCCTTGCTCGCGGGCTGGACTACTATACTGGAGTGATCTATGAGGCGGTGCTACTACAGACCGCAGCCCAGGCAGGGGAAGAGCCCCTGGGTGTGGGCAGTGTGGCTGCTGGAGGCCGCTATGATGGGCTGGTGGGCATGTTTGACCCCAAAGGGCGCAAGGTGCCATGTGTGGGGCTCAGCATTGGTGTGGAGCGGATCTTTTCCATTGTGGAGCAGAGGCTAGAGGTGAGTAGAAGACAATCTGGGCAGGCAGTGGCAACTGGGCTATCTTCTTTGATCCCCCGGGGGGTCACTTTGGGCAAGGAGCATCTTTGCAGAGAAATGGAGAAAAGATGGACACTACTACTCAGACTCCCACCCCATTATAGGACAGCTTTATGGATTTCTGATCATTCTTTTTTCACAAAATATCTTGTTCTGGGTCCCTTCTTCCCTCAGAGCTGTCAGGAATCTAGGCTGGTAAAATTTTTACAACAGCCTTCTGAAAGTAGCTACTTTTACTGTCTTTAGAGAACTAAAGATTTTCGATTAAATACCTCAAAGTCATGAATCTCTTAAGTGACAGAGTCCATTTGAATCCAGGCAGTCTAACTGTAAAGTCTTGCTCCTAACCATGCTGTGATAGTCTCTGATGGGGGAGCGTGTGTCTGAGGCCCTGAGACCCTAAGATGGCTGTCCTGACTCTAGCACCGGGAGTACCACCAGGGAAACCCCTCGTGGCCTCAAGTGCACCTTTGTTGCTGCTGCTCTTAACTGGCTGGTTGCATTTCATCCCCTGGAGAAAGCTCTGGCAGTAACCTTCCCACTGCTCCATCCTTTTCTCTAGGTGGAAACCACCCGTTTCCCAATTAAGGTCACTGTTCCAACAGGCATCTTACGTTGTAGGAACTATGCAAATAGTTTTCCAGAAAAAGACAAGGGGCGGCAGCAGCATCCTCCCTTCCCCCATCCACACACACCTTGGGTTGTACCCGATGGGCTGTACCCTCTCAACTGGCAGATAGTAAGTGGGAACTAGAACTGCTAGGGCTGATTGGATTGCCTGATGGGCTCACAGTATCACTTCTGTGTTACTGTTCTTGTGGGCCCTTAAGGTAGATGGAAGTAAGCTAGAAGTTTCTATAAATAAGCTACCTTTGCCCTCACCCTAGGTAATTTATTCTGGCACGTCAGATGTACAAGCTAGTCAGTTTATTTTTTTTTCTTTAATATATTTTTATTTATGTCAGAGAGAAAGGGAGAGGGAGGGAGAGATAGAAATATCAGAGAGAAAATCATTGATTGGCTGCCTCCTGCTTGAAACCCAGGCATGTGCCCTGACTGGGAATTGAACTGTGATCCCCTGGTTCATAGGTCAGCACTCAACCACTGAGCCACACTGGCTGGGCCCAGTCAATTTAATTCTTTTTTGTGTTTTTTTTTAATATATTTTGATTTTTTACAGAGAGGAAGGGAGAGGGATAGAGAGTTAGAAACATCGATGAGAGAATCCAGCTGCCTCCTGTACACCCCCTACTGGAGATGTGCCCGCAACCAAGGTACATGCCCTTGACCGGAATTGAACCTGGGACCCTTCAGTCCACAGGCCAACGCTCTATCCACTGAGCCAAACCGGTTAGGGCCAATTTACTTCTTATATCATCTAAGAGCTACCTTATGCCCAGTTGCTGGACATGAGGAGACTGGGCCCCTGCCCTGATGGAGCTGGCTGAGTTGGGCTTGGTCTCAGGATCCTGACAAGGGCCTGCTCTCTTCGCTCTATGACAGTGTTACGAAGGGTAGCCCAGCTCTCTGACTTTTATCTGCACCTTCCCCAGGCATTGGAGGAGAAAGTACGGACTACAGAGACACAGGTGCTTGTGGCATCCGCACAGAAGAAGCTGCTGGAGGAGAGACTGAAGCTCGTCTCAGAGCTGTGGGATGCTGGGATCAAGGTACTGGAGGCAAGCCCCCGGGTGGCAGCAAACGGGAATGCTGGGCTCAGACTAAACACAAGCTCACCCTGCTATCCTGCGATTTCTTGGGGCGGAACTCCGAGCTAGGTGACAGGTTGGGCCCCAGGAGGTTGATCCTGAGGAATGCAGAAGTCAGCCTTCATCTTCTGCCCGGGTCCCCTGCAGGCTGAGCTGCTTTACAAGAAAAACCCAAAGTTACTGAACCAGCTGCAGTACTGTGAGGAGGCAGGCATCCCACTGGTGGCCATCATCGGTGAGCAGGAGCTCAAGGATGGGGTCGTCAAGCTCCGTTCAGTGGCCAGCAGAGAAGAGGTAAGTAGGTGGGCAGGAAGGCTGAGGGACAGGGCATGTCTGCCATTTCAGCAGGCCAATGCCCATTCAAGACCTAAGCAAAAGCCTGGTGTTCTTACAAGTACACACTTGTAAAGGATGTAAGGGCTGTTATTAGGATCCTGGTAGGATAAGATTCCATGCCCACAAACACCCTGTCTCTGGCTCCCCTAAGAAGCACTGTCCACCCTGAATGTTCTGGGTTCCTGCTCTCAGCTGAGCCAAACCTGGTGACCAGAGGGAGGAGTGGGCACTCAGGGAGCAGTGGAGTGGAAGCTGCTCATACCACTTTCTTCCCCCATCCTGGCCAGGTGGATGTCCGAAGAGAAGACCTTGTGAAGGAAATCAAAAGGAGAACAAGCCCGCCCCTTTGCATCTGCTGAATTGAGCAAACTCTGAGGAAAGTGGACGGGCACTGTTTAAGGCTAAGACAAAACTCTGCATATACACTTCAGCCTCTTCGCACACTTCCAGTGGGAAACCGGAAGAGTGGTCAAAACAGAGACTTTTTATTTTTATTATTATTTTATTGATAATCACAGGTAATTTTATGTGCCATTTTCCATAGGAAGCCCTGGGGGCTCAATCCAGTCTGGCCCCTAGGCTACAAGGACCGCGCCTGAGATGGCCCCCTCTGCGGGCCCTCCGCCAGGAGGGGCACTGCTCCCCACAGCCCGTCACCAAAGGTGCAATAAAATATCTCAACCACTGCAGCCCGTCTGTGTCGCTATAGCCTGGCTAGCCCCTTCCTGCCCTGTCAGTCTGACCGCTTTAGCGGTGGGAAATGGGGAGAAAGACTGACAGCAGGCTCTTGCCCGGGGTGAAGGGTGCCCCCTGCGTCCTTCTTCCCTCCGTGGTGTGCCAGCCACTGCTCAGGAGCCGAGTCGGCCTGCAAACTCAGCCGCTAGGGTTTCTAGCTTTCACCTGAGGGTCGCGGCGCACGTGCGGCGGATACTCCCACCCCCCGTGGGAGGCGGGGTCGTGCTCAGAGCCAATGCGAGCTTGGGAGGTGGAGGGGTAGGGAAGCTTCCAGAGGCCGATGGGGAGGAGGTTATAAAAGGGACCAACGCCAGACCAGCGCCAGAGCCATGCAGTCCAAGCGGGAGTACGAGGTAAGCGTTTGCCAACGAGGGGTGAACGAGCACCACCTGCGCAGGGAGTGGGGGCCCTGGGGCCCCAGCACAACAGGCGAGGCGGGGGCGGGCGCGGCCATCCGCCATTCCGACCTGCCCTTTCCCCAGCAGCTGTGGTGTGAGAGGGTGAATCCAGAGAACAAGGCGGCGCTGGAGGCGTGGGTCAGGGAGACGGGCATCCGCCTGGTGCAAGTGAACGGGCAGAGGAAGTATGGCGGGCCGCCCCCAGGTACACTAACTAGTCCGGCCCGACGCCTGCCGGGGTGCTGCGCTGGCCTCGACGAGCCCCTTGGGGGAGGCGCCCACTCCGGGTCTCCACAGTCAGACACCCCGAACTCCCCGTTAACCCCTCCCCCTGCAGACGTGCCCCACCCGCCCGCCCCCTCGAAGGAGCCAGCTTTAAGGTGTACTTACTCTGTGCCAGCCCCATTTTAATTCAATTGCCCAATTACGCCAACGACTCGGGGTACGGGTGTTGTACCCATTTCACAGATGCGTGGTCACACGGTCCCACCCGCGCCGGATTCCTGGGCCCAAACCCGGAACCTCCCGATGGATGACGGTGCCTCCCCCACCCCTCCCCCCAGGCTGGGTGGGCAGCCCGCCGCCGCCCGGGTCCGAGGTGTTTATCGGTAGGCTGCCCCAGGACGTGTACGAGCACCAGCTGATCCCACTGTTCCAGCGCGCGGGCCGCCTCTACGAGTTCCGCCTGATGATGACTTTCAGCGGCCTGAACCGGGGCTTTGCCTACGCCCGCTACAGCTCGCGGCGCGGGGCCCAGGCCGCCATCGCCACGCTGCACAACCACCCTCTGCGGCCCTCCTGCCCGCTGCTCGTGTGCCTCAGCACCGAGAAGTGCGAGCTGAGCGTGGACGGGCTGCCGCCGGCTCTGACCCGCCGCGCGCTGCTGCTCGCGCTGCAGCCGCTGGGGCCGGGCCTTCAGGAGGCGCTGCTGCTGCCCAGCCCCGGACTGGCGCTCACGCAGATGGCACTGCTCAAGTTCAGCTCGCACCGTGCAGCGGCCATGGCCAAAAAGGCCCTGATGGAAGGTAGGGGCGGAGGCTGCTGGGGGCCGCTAGTTGGAGCCACAGTATTCTGCCAGGAACTTTACCTCCACACGTCAGTAGGGCGGGTAAAGTAGAAAGATCTTAAGGTCAAGAATGCCCGAATTTGCAACTTTATATTTATTTGAACTCAGCTTTTCAAATTTCCAGTGCTACTACCACTTACCTAAACTTAATACTTCCCATGTTATCTCCTAACTTAACCCTCAACATTCCAATGAAAAATATACAAGGCTCTCCCTCTTTAGAGAAGATTGTTTTAAGAGAAAGGGACTTGCCCGAGGCAGTCCAACTGAGACTGTTGTCTGTTGTGAGAATTAAGCTGGATGCTTAGCACATTCCTTGATTCTTGGCAAGTATTCACAGTAAAGGTTGGTAGTTTTATGGTTTTGCAGTAGATAAAGCCAGCATCCAATCAGTACTCCTCCAAGAAAATTTAGAAGGTAGCTGTTACTGCACCCTTTTTACAAACACAATGAAGACTTATTTTGCCAGAGGTCACATCACCTGGTAATTGTGTGACTTGACTCCTAAGGACTCGCAGGGACTGGGGGCTTGGGTGCAGGGCTAAGACCTGTCCTTGTCTCTGCCTTTTTCCTACAGGGCAGTCACGCCTCTGTGGAGAGCAGGTGGCTGTGGAGTGGCTCAAGCCAGATGTGAAGCACCGACTCCGCCAGCAGCTTGTGGGGCCCTCGCTGAGGTGCCTACAGCCAGAAGGCAGCGGCTTGGCCCTCACTAGGGACAGGCTAGCGTCCCAAGGGGCTCGAACTGCCTTGCAGCTGCTGTGCCAACGGATGAAGCTGGGTAGCCCAGTGTTCCTCACCAAGTGCTTGGGCACAGGCCCTGCTGGCTGGCACCACTTCTGGTACCAGGTGGTGATCCCTGGGCATCCAGTGCCCTTCAGTGGCCTCATCTGGGTTGTGCTAACCATGGAAGGGCAGGATGGGCATGAGGTGGCCAAGGATGCTGTGTCTGCACGGCTGCTGGAGGCACTGAGTGAGTCTGGGGCCAGCCTCCTTTCATGTGCTGGGGCAGTGAGCAAGTCTGGGGCCAGCGTCCTGTCGTCTGCTGGAGCTGAGGCAGGTGCCATGGTTAAGCAGTAACCCCATCCTCTACAGGCAGCCTGAACAAGTCGGCAGAGCCTGTGTCAGTCCCCAACCCAGCAGGTCTGGGCAGCCATCATCTGATCCCCAAAAAGGGAGGAGCATGGGCCCTGCCCTAGGCCTGACACAGCCTCCCCGCTGGGGCACAGCCCCAGTGCACTTGGAGACAGCTCAGATTTGGCTAAGTTGTGGTGAGGGACCTTGCCCTCTCTCTCCCAGCCCAGAGTATCCCTTGGCCTTTCTCTGTGTGACATACACACTCTGTCTCCTCCCACAGCTTAGCATGAATCTTCACTTATTTTCTTGATTTGTCTTTGTTTTTATTTGGGGGATGGCTTTTGTCCCCACCACTTGGTGGTGTGGTGTATGTGTACTGTTGGTTTGTCTATCTACGCTGGTTGTATTTATATTAAACCCCTGGTTGGTGTACACCTGTGTCCGTGCCATCTTGTCCCAGCTGTGGGCTTCTTACACTGGTGGAGTGAGCAGCTCTACTTCCCCTCAGTCCTGAGCCTCTGTTTGCCCATCTCCTTATGCTGTACAAGAGGGTATGCTAAATTCATAGCCTCCGGGGACCCCTCAGTCCTGAGCCTCTGTTTGCCCATCTCCTTATGCTGTACAAGAGGGTATGCTAAATTCATAGCCTCCGGGGATCCAGCCCAGGAAGAAAGACTATGCCCCTGAGGACCTGCCTTGAGATTCAGCTCATCCCCTCAGTCACTGTCATCCTCCCTCTCCTCCTCTTCCTTCTCCTCTTCCCTCAGTCCTGCAAAGAAGTCATCGGTGCTCCAAGCCTTGCTACTCAGCGCCCGAAGTGGCCCTCCCTTTTTTTTGCGCCGACGGTAATCATCCACCACCACAGCCCGCAACTGGGCCATGTCCCAAAATTTGAGGCACTGGTCATGGCCACTGCTGGCCAGGAAGCGGCCGCAGTGGGAGAGGGCCAGCTCCTCCACAGGCTCCCCGGCATGCTGGCCCACACTGCCCACCACTCGGTTCGGCAGGATGTTCACAGCCCTAGACAGAGAGAAAAGAGTGTTGGGTACTGGCTGGTTGGGCGCCTACCCTTCCTGTGCCCCTAAGCGCCCAGCTTCTCTCACCTGATGACTCCATCGGTAGACCCAGTGCACAGCAGACTGTCAGTGACTGGAACCATGCAGTCAATGGACTCGGCTCTCAGGGCAAAGCGGTCACTTGTGGCCCCAAAGCCGTCCCAATTGAAGAGGTAGATGGTACCTTCACTGGAGCCACAGGCCACCTTCCTCCCACACTGCAAGGAAATAGGATAAAATGTTTGTAGAGCTCTGTCAGACCAAGTCCCTAGCACACCCCCATCCCACCGTACCCAGCCGTACTTTCATGATTGTGACAGAGGTCAGGTCTCCAGACTGAGGTTCTGAAAGCAGCTCAAACCGGCGTCGCTTAATATTGAAGACACCAAGGCAGCCGTCTCCACTACAGAGAAAGCAGAGCAGCAGGCTTGGCCAGAGGCTCCCACTGAGGGAGACATTTAGCACAGGGAAGGCAGCTTTGAGGATGTACCTGGCTGTCAGCAGCAGCTTCTTAGCTGGGTCCAGAGCCATGTCAGCAATGTACTCCTCATGTTGCCGCATATCCATTAAGGGGCCTTCCTTCCGCTGGTCCCAGAGCCGGATGCCACCTGTGTCATCCCCCGTGGCCAGAACATTCATATCCACTAGCAGCAGACTGTTGATAGGGGCACTAGAGACATAGATGCAGTTATTCTTAGAGCATCTTTGTCCCCATAGGGAGCTGCAAGTCCTTACCCTCACCTCAATACATTTGGCTTCTCTTACCCGTGAGCCTTGGAAATGCGTCTTTCCAGTCGGCCCTGCTCCACATCTAGAACGTGGATGGCTTTGTCCTTGGAGACAGTTACAAGTTCTGGGGGGAAAGGTGCACAAGTCATGGTGCTGCTCACCGCTCCCCTCCCACCATCACACTGCTGGCTGCCTTCCCCAATACTCACTCTGCCCATCTTCAGAGAAGGCCACGGCACGGCAGGACTTGAGGTGGTGACCTGAGGACCAGAGCTCTTTGGTTTCTCCCTCTTGACAGGAGTAAGAAAAGCTGGAGAGAGATGGAGAGTGAATGACCCCAGACCCGGCCTGGGGTGTACCAACTAGTCAACCTTCCACCTACCTAGGAGTTCCTGCTAGTACACCCCTAAGCCCAAGGAGCTTACTGTGGGGCACAGCTACTGTGTTTTGGCCAGGTTCAAGCCTCGGACTAATGAAAGGACAGGGTCCTCTCATTGCCACGTGCAAGTCCCAGCTGGCGGGCAGGGCCCTCCCAGCACAATCATAGCCAACGGCTGTGGTTGGGAGCTTGAACCTATGGTCCGAACACGTAGCCCCACGTGCCTTGTGATAGAGTTCAGGTGCATGTAGTTGAGTAAGGTTAAAACACGAGAATGCTGTAGACAACTTGATCACGCCCCTACTTTGCCTTGTGGCATCTGCTATAAAATAAAGACACGGATTGTGGGCGCTGGCGCTGTCTCCTCATCAGGGAGCAGCGTCCCACCGATACCCAGCTTTCATTCTCTTGTCTTTTCTCAATTCTTTCACCCCCACCCCCCACTCAGGATCACCTTTGGCCGTAACAGCTTACCATCCCATTTTTTCCATTTTCAGTGAGCTTCAAATATTTGGAAATCTTTTTCTCATTTGATAGATATTTGCTTGCAACTTTGTGATGTCACCCCACCCTTCTTAAATCATTCTTGCAAGCCCCAGCCTGGGGAAAGATTAGGTATGAACCACTGTGAAGGCCCAGAAATATTCGTTAAATTAATAACTGAAGGGCAGCCCCAGAAGTTGGAAATGTAAAAATTAGTAAAACAGGGATCTTGCACTCCAGTTCTGTAGGAGCTAGAGATCCAAAATTAATTCTGGCACATTGTGACTGCATACTGAAAAAGAGCCAGGATCAAAATGCAGGTGGAACAGAGAAGCACCAGCCTGTAAACGCAGCAAGGCAAGCACCTGTGCAGAGAGCATCCCCAGTGCAGATCCTCAAAGCAGCTGAGTGAATTAAGTGCTTAATTGCCAGTGAGTTCCAGGTGGGCAGAACTGGGTCTACTAAGTCTGCTCTATCCCAGTGCCTAGCATGAAAAAGCTGCTTAATAGACACATTTTTAAGTAAAAGAGACAAGCATTCAAATAAGTATACAAACTTATGTTTGACTACAAACCATTATGAAATTTATGAGGAAAAGACATCTGGTGCCAAGGTAGCACCTAACAAGTAATCTGATTTAGTCAGGGGCATGGGGAACGAGTGAAGACATGCTGAGAACTTAGAGATAGGTACAAGTGAGGGGAAAGGAGCTGAGGCTGCAAGATACATTATAAAGGTAAGCATGAATGAGCATGGGAAGCAAAGGGGAAAGCAAGGGCCAGAGGGTCAATCAGTTTAGACTTAATCCTAAAAGCAAAGGTAAACTATTTAAAGATTTGTGTTTTCAAAAGAGCAATTAAAGCAAGAAGCACAAGAAGGGGACCCTGTTGAGCTTGTTTCAGGCTCAGTATAATAATCTGTCCTGAAAGCCTTCTTATCCTGCTACTTACTGTCTCTGGGCTCCGTCACGACATTACAGCCATTTCACCTTCCTTTCAGTTCTTTTCAGAGATTTGTGTGCTAACTTGTTTAAACCGAATGTTAATGAACGAATCAGAACAGGTGAGTCCTGCAAACTTTCTCTCCCTGCACTCTCTTCTCTCCGCCAGCTCCATTCCAGGGGAGCTGCCAGCCCCGGAGCCCACCACGCCCCGGCCCCGGCGCGCACTTACACAAACACGTCCCCGTCCACGTCCCCCGCCGCCAGGAGGTCGCGGGACGGGTGGAACGCCAGCCCACTGGCCGGCGCTTCCAAAACGATGTCTTCAGGGGTGTCCCGGGTCCGGGCCGGGACTTCCGTGGAGTCGGAGTCCTCCTCGTCGCTCCTATCCTCCGTGGCCCTCTCCTCGCACGTGTGATCCATGCACCGGAGGGCTCCGAGCCGACTCGCAGTTGCCCAGCGTGCCCAAGCCCGTCAACCGGCAGGAGTAAGCAGCCGGCGCACCGCTTCCGCCTGGGGGGGCGGGACAGGAAGTGGCGCCGGGGCGTCTCCGTAACCAGGAAAAGGCGGGTCTCCGCAGCTGTTGTGGGCGGGGCGGGCTCTAGGGGCCAGGTCCCCAAGGTCCCCTGCGTTCCTGTGTTGACGCCACTGCTACCTAGACCAGCTAGATGGCCGAAGAACATCAATCCCCTCTTTAGTCGCATTTCTCCTTCCCCCTTATCCTGACCCATGCAGACCGCCATTCAGGGCTCAGATCTACATCCAGGCCCCAGACGTCCATCCGGGGGCCAGACCTCACTGCCAGGACCCAGTCCTCCATTCAGGGCTCAGATCTCCCTGCCAGGACCCAGACGTCCATCCGGGGGCCAGACCTCACTGCCAGGACCCAGACCTCCATCAGGGCCCAGATCTCCCTGCCAGGACCCAGACGTCCATCCGGGGGCCAGACCTCACTGCCAGGACCCAGTCCTCCATTCAGGGCTCAGATCTCCATCCGGGGCCCAGACCTCACTCCCATAACCTAGACCTGCATCCAGGGCCCAGACCTCCATCAGGGCCCAGATCTCCCTGCCAGGACCCAGACGTCCATCCGGGGGCCAGACCTCACTGCCAGGACCCAGATCTCCATCCGGGGCCCAGACCTCACTCCCATAACCTAGACCTGCATCCAGGGCCCAGACCTCCATCAGGGCCCAGACCTCCCTGCCATAACCCAGACCTCCATCTTGGGCTTAGACTTCCATCCCAGAACCCAGATGTCCATTGAAGGACCCAGGTCTCCATCTGGGAACCAGACCTCCATCCCATACCCAGACTTTCTTTCCAGGACTCAGAACTCCATCCAGGGCCCAGACCTCAACCCAGGTCCCAGATCTCCACCCTGGGGCCCAGACGTCCATCTGGGACCAGGACCTCCATCCGGTGCAGCCCCAGCTGAATCCCAGCCTTTGGCTGGTCCTCAAAACTCTGCTGTGACCGCTTATCTGGGAAAACAGCCCCCCTCTCCTGCACTCACGGGGAGCCCCTCTGATTCTCAGGCAGCTGCTAGGCATAAGGTCTGACCTGGCTGGTGCCACCTCGCTCTCCGCTGTCCGAGGATGTTGGAATGTGAGCCTGGCCATCACCCGGAGGCTAATTCTTCGCCTCTGAAAACCACACCAGGCTTTTCAAATTCAATTATGCTGTGCCTCTCCACCGGGTACCAGCTTGCTGGTGTACCCCAGGAACCTAGACCCGGCACCCTACACCTTGGCCCCCCTCCCTCGGGTGCAGACACAATAACACCAGCCCTGCCGGCATTGCCAGCAGGGCCACAGGGCAGGTCACCCAGTGCTATTTCCTCCTCACTCCAGTGCACAGAGGGCTCTCCCAGGCCCCTTCCTGGGCTCAGCACAGAACTCCTGTGGGCATGCGCTTGACCAGGCCCCCCTCCTTGGAGATGTTCAGGAGACTAGTGCTGTTTCTGCCCAGCAAGCCTAGAAGC